CCAGATTGAGATCAATTCCCAGATGATTCCGGGAACGCCTCTGCCGACTTCTGATGAAGACTCTGACCGCGCTACAGTAAGTAGCTCTACTTGAGTCAAAGTCAAAATCGTAGTGATGACCGCCGCATAAGGTGACTAACAGAGATTGGATGCCCCCAAGGAAGGGCGAAGCTGTTCTAGTGGCTAATGGCGCGCTATCACATATGTATTGTGCCAGGGTTCGAATCCCGGATCGATGGCCGCCTGGGCCAACCAAGCCTTCCATCCCACCAGGGCCGGTTAATTAGTACCAGACCCACCTGGGAGGATAAACGCACTGGCTTGTACATCGGCTGACACCGCAAGTCATTGTATGGGCTACATACGCACTCAAAAACGCTACAGTTCTGGATGGAAATCGGACGTGGGGGAGTATCCATGATACCAAATCGATAAAGATCAAGACTTTATCCTTAACTTTTCAATCCCCGAGGAATGCTGCAGCTTCTGAGTTTGGTGAGGAGGTCGAGGGGTAAGACAAGGTGATGTCGCTAAAGAATTTAGAGAGTTATGGTTTCACTGCACTGATCCGTAGAACCCTGCAAATGCTGCTGAAGAAGGGAGGCGCAACGAGTAGTCAAGGGGTTATGAAAAAGTACAAAAGTGGCCTTGCAAACAAATGGTAAACACGGACCTTACGACACACCACTGCAGGACTCTGTGCCAAGCTGCACAGCAGCGGAACATTTCTAGGGCTTCTTAACGTCCATTGTAATTGGACTTCAATAACTGCTGTAATCCAGTATCTCCTTAGTTACGCCCTTCCAGCCAAAGGAACTAATAACTAATGATTCCAGGTCGACTTCTTGGTCGTTCCATCGACCGACTAGTTTTTGAAAATGCTACGGCGATGCCTCTATGGAATCCATGGAATCCGGCAGTGTAAGCTCGCTACAGTTCTATTAAAGGCAAAACTCAACCACTATGGGTGTGGTGTAGGCGGGATGATCCAGGGCGGGCGGAGCAACCGGACATTTCAACGCGATAAACAAATATCACGAGCTTTCTTATTGATGAGATTTTTTCAGATAATCAAAAGGTGGATCCTTCAACCGTTTTTGATTTCATTCCTGCAAGCAGCGTTGATATTAAGGATATTGTCGATTTATGTGCCAACGAATTCATTCTTGATGAACCTCACAGTAAGGTAAGGAATTTTGCTACAAAAAAAGATTTGCTCACTTCCGCTCTCTGGCCAATCCCAAGGTTGCGTAGGACTTCAAGAAGATACCCAACTTTGTATGAAGAAAAAACTCAAAAATTTTCGATCAGAAGATAGCCTCACTTTCAAGGATATGTTCCCACTTCTATTTCCCCATAG